GGTACCTATACACGGTTAGCGGTCCAAAAAGAAACTTTGAAACATCTTTTTGTCCAAGAGCCATGAATGCACATGCAAGTGTCTGTGCAGAGCTGTCTAGGCACCCTCCCTGAAAATGGCAATGAGCTGGTGAAAAAAGTTGTCACTGAAGAGGAGTTTGAGTCATTTTATGAGAATTGGGAGGACAGAAAGTTGAGAGACTACAAACGTATTCCTGGGAAAATTACTAATGAGAAGTTATGCCCATCATGAAGCCGCATTTTAGAGAGAAATAATGACTAAAAATCTCCCCGCACTGTCCCTTCACACGCTAGTGGTGACGCGAAAGAAGCGGTGGATATCTACTGATTATAGCCCTGACTCTTCAATCTGGATTTTTTTGCTGATTACCCCACCTATACTAGCCGCTTCAATATTCATCTTTGTATGCAAACGATACGAATCGCTATATTTTCTCATTACACAGCAGAAGAGATAAAGCGACAAAAATCCCAATCAAGAATAAATGCGATCATAGCAAGGTACTCTGCAAGGCGACGTTTACGCGATGATAATAAGAAAATCCAAACTAGACGCTCAGGGAAATCATAGAGGAGTGAAAAAATAAGTGAAGACTGCAAATTACCCTGTAGATCTCCTCAAGTAAAGCAGATGCGGCGTTTGCTCCAACGTCCTCCGGAACGATGGGGTCCCCAGCCTCTCCTTTTGGTTTAGAAATCGCTTCCCCATGGTAAACAACTCCTTCAGTCGTCTCTGCCGTTAAGAACAGCCCATACCCAGGTGAACTAAAGCAGCAATGTTTGTAAAATACTGAAATATAATAACAGAAGCTACTCACTTTCCTCCCGCATCTCCTTTGCGTTGATCAACTGTGATGTACACATCAGAAATGTAGCCATGAAGCATTTTCTTTGCTGCATCGATCATACGGTATGCAAGAGAAGGAGTTACCTTCGTTACGTACGCTTGGCCACGAATCTTGCATATCTTGCCGGATTTTGGGCGCTACAGAAAATGCTGGTTTGTAGCGAAATAAAAGGAGACTCGAATACCTGTACGGGCCGCAAAGTCTTCACGATAGGAGCGGAAAATATTATGCAGCCACCACCTCCCGGCTTGAGCCCTCGTGCGCTTATCTGATGTATACGAATAATGACACAAATAAAATAAATTCTTTCAAGCCTACCTTCAGATCAAGCTTTTCATCATTAAGGACAAACTTATTGTAAACCGAAAGCCATGTCGATTTGATAGCATCAACGGAGATCTCATTCGGTGCATTGGTGACTCCTTAAATAATGTTCAGCTACACGACCAAAACTTTTTATATATAATTCACATAAAGTCAGTGCGCACCTTTCAATTTCAGCGTCATTGCATTCTTACAAAATGGTGAGATAATGATCATAGGCTCCAGGAAATATGACAAACACCGATCGGAGCCACAGTCCATAGTCAGCACTCCTCCAATGATGATACCAGGACGAAAACGCACTTCCGTACCTGTTAAGCACACTTGTTTCTCATACCTCTCGATAAAAACGTAAAAAAAGGTTTACATATCACCGAGGAATACATATACATATATTTGAAAATAAGGCAAAAATAAAGCTTTCCAGGTGCCTTTAAATGCATGAAACCAGCAGCCTACCCGTAGTGTTTATCTCGACTCTTGTTCCATTAGTTATCCTCTCCAAAAGTGATAGAAGTTTTGCCTCAAAATCTAAACGAAGATAGAATGTATACGCAGTCAACAAAACAGAAAGCTGCAGAACCTTTTATTCCAGGTGCGTCATCGTCCTTCCTGATATTCTGAATAGTTACAGGGCGACCACTCAATACAGAAAAGGTCAGCCGTTGTCGGAAAAAGTTGCAACCTTCAAAGATGAGCTCCTCCCCTCCCATCACTGAGCAGTGTGGTCCAAACGGCCTCAAACTACAAGAAGTGAGGACAAGGTTGAAAGGCCAGGGCTAGAACCTCAGATTGGCTATCTGGAATGATATAAATTGTGTTCTGAAGAACAAATTCAAATCTGTTTCCCGCATCTGCTAAACATTCGCTAGAAAAAGCCAAGTGCGCTACAAAATTCATATCTCAAGCATATTCCTCTGTGTATCAAACGCCTTTTGATTACGATCTCAGAAGCTGAAGCGCACATCCACTGTGGACATCGATTCACACTCACATACTCTAGCTTTCCTCCAGATCAGCAGATAGGAATGCGCCTAGGCACCCATACTTGATCCACTTTGTGGTCAAATCAGCGAACTAACTATCAACGAACGGATTTCCACTTCATCCAATTCGCTATTAGTCACTTTACTGATTCGACGAATAACGAAGTGAATCAAGAGGATCAACTATGGCATGTGCCTTACCTAGTTTCAATTTTTGAAGCT